ATAGTCCAGCCTTATTGGGCTCAAAGGACAGTCAGTGTGACAATGTTCTGGCCAATGAGATATAAATTGTTATTGAGGGGAAATCCCTTGATTCTGATTCTCTAATATAAGGGCTGCCCCACCTCCGCGTGTGCGTGTGAGTGTTGCATGTGCGTGTGCGTGTGCGTGTGCGTGTGTGTGTGTGTGTGTGTGTGTGTGTGTGTGTGTCTAGATCAAAGTTGACTTTGACTTTGGCTGTCCTCATCTATCACCTCCTTCTATCATCTTATTTTTTGAGAGAGTCTCTCACTTAACCTGGAACTTCCTGTTTCGGCTAGACAGGCTGGCCCCAAATTGTCTGCTTTACTTTTCTGTTGCTGTGATGAGACAATCTGACCAAAGGCAACTTGTAAAGAGTTTATTTGGCTTACACTTCCATCACTGAGAGATGTCAGGCCAGGAAGTCAAAACAGGAACTGAAAGGCAAGAACCATGGAAGAATGTTACTTGCTGATTCATTCACCAGTTCATGCTTAGCTGGGTTTATTACACAGCCCACGACTTCCTGCCAAAGGAATGGTACCGCCCACATCAAGAATCCCGACACATCAATTAATCTTCAAGGCAATCCCTCACAGACATGCTCATGGGCTAGTCTGATCTAAACAATTCCTCAGTCAAGGTTTTCCTCACAGATTCCTCTGGGCTGTATCAAGCTGACAATTAAAACTAACTAGACACTGCCTGTCTCCATTTCATCACCCAACACTGATATTATAGACACATGCTGTCATGCCTGTCTTTTGTGGGGGCACAGGGAATCTGAGATGAGGTATCCATGCTTTGCACCTTAAGTACTTTATCCACTGAGACATCTTCTCAGCCCCAGGAGGACTCCATTTTCCTGCCTCAAGTATAAATAAAATGGCTGGGGTTGTGGCAGATTTCTTGCAGCCGTGAAAGAAAACCTCAGAGACTTTATCCTCTTGTTTTGAGCCAATGATGAATGCCACCCTTAACAGATTTTTAATCAAATAACAACAATATATACTAGTATATATGGAAGTCACTGTTGTTAAAACCTTCTATTATTCATAGTCAAATGAAACCCCCTGTTGATTTCTCCAGCTAGTCAGAGCCCACAAGGAAGCACATTTGAGGCAGAAGAAATCTACTGTCTGAGGACCTGAAGGCTGCCACAGTTTGGTGTGTTTATGAATAGAATAGCAAGTGTCACGGGAGTGTGGCAGGCACAGAGGAAAGTGAGAGCCACTAAGGTTGGGGACACAGCAAAGGACAAGGGCAGTCAAAGCTTTAGATGTGGGGCAAAGAGTGTGATCGAATTACAGAAGTGAACAGACAGCATTGGGTGGCCACTGAATGTTTTATAGACATCACCCGTTTGCCACGCAATTGACGAGGGGCTTAGGAGGGGTGGGGGCAGGGAGACAATCGGAGGCCACTGCTGTCACACCGGAGAGAGAAAACGTTGACTTGGACTGGGCTAAAGGCATCAGTGGTGGGGAAAATGGTACTGAAATGACAGCGTAGCAGACAGTCAGGGAATACGTTAACAAAAATGAAAGGATGGCAGCATGCTGCATGAAGAATGCAACCAGCTCTTGCTCATCAAGGGAATCAAGCTACTTATTGCCACAGGCCAGGTCAGTGAAATAGTATTAACCATAGCATCTCACATGTGTGGGTTCAATGTTTTACAAGTATTGTCACATTAATCCCTGTAATAGCACATACGGGAGACACTGTTATTATCTTCATCTTACAAATGAGCAAACCGAGTCATAATCAGATTCGATAGCTTGCTCAAGGACAATGCTGTTACGAAGCTAGTGGAACAACTTTGAAACCCAAGGCTGCCTGGTTCTCTGACTGAAGCCATCAGGGGCTCAGAGACCATTCTTGGAACATTTTCTACTCTATAGATGTTCATTATAACACATAAAAATTCTTCAACACCATTCCCACACTTTGGCACATTTATTGAGCCTTTTGTAGATATCAATCTTTGTACATTTCTTCTACTTGCTCTACAAATTGGAAAACTGAAGGACAAGGAGGTCATGAGACTCATCCTGAGTGTCTAGCTAGCAATGTGCATCACTGTCTCTTTCAGAGGAGTCTGCTCCTCGGGATAGTTTGAAGGAATCATGTCTGTCAATAGAGCGAGAGTCCTAAGAAGAGCTGCTTCTTAGACTCAGAACTATCTGCTAACTCATACCTTGGGACCAAGTGGTGACAAGTACATTGGGATTGGTAGATTATTTTGGCCAAATGCAAAGTCACTAAAGTTCGACAAGGCTCAAGATGCACACCAAGATGGAACAGTTCCTGAACCTGTCCCACCTCCTCTGTTCTTTGTTATCCTCTCAAAGCATGTCCTCTGAGGGACTGACCCTAAAGAAAAGTCCCCTCCTGTCTGTCACTCACTATTCCATCATCTCACTTACCCCCTGGCTTAACACTTATCTGTCCCAAACACTATCAATTATTTACCATTTATGTGTGTATTGCCTGTCTCTGCCCGCAGGATGTAAGTTCCATGTCTCTAGTGCCTGGTCGGCTGGCACACAGTAGGCATTCAATAAATGTTTAATGAAAGAATGATTAGACACATTATTTAACTTGATTTCAGTTTTCATTGGCATCTAGAGAAAACCTTCCCAGCTCTAGACACATACACAGGTCTCTCTTCAACGGAAGCACCTGAGGTGGCAGAAACCAGGACAAATATGCAAACTGAGAAGATGACAATTGAAATCAGTGGGGTTAGTACAAGTAGGCCAGTGCTGGTGACTTTCTGAGGGAACCCCTCAAATGGTAGTTGTCCTTCTACTCCCATGGGAGATGACTAGCTGACTGCAGAACATTTCTCTAAGCAACTGAGCTCAAGGCAGAAGTTCCTATTCTAACAGAAGCTACAAGGGAAGGGAGAGTTGTGGAAAGGGCCCCAGGAGAGGGCAATGAAGAGAAGGTACAGCCAAGGATGAGCCAGGTAGTCTCAGGTGGTGACAGCAGGCACAGAAGAGGAGGTGCCTAGCCATCATTCCCTAGCCCATCTTGTCAGCAGGAGTATTGGAAGGTCCCTAAGGGCCATGTCTCTGGTATGGACAGCACCTAAGGAAATGTCATGTGTGGCTAGTTCTTTGGGGGCATCTGTGACCCACTGGGGATCAGTTCTATTTCTTTTATGGAAATTAAAATAAATAAGCAAGAGAAGTAGTCCGAAGGCTCCCTGATACAGAAGAAGGAGTCATCCGTGGCTCACTTTTGTCTTCCTAGAAAGGGCAGATGCCAAACATGATCTTCCCCTGTTCTGCTGGTACATTTTTTTCGCAGGCTGGCTTTTCTCAGCTGTCTTTTGAATACCTCGAGCAGAACACCCCTGTCTTGTTAATGACTTCAAAGATACCGGGTCCACTGTGCAGTGAGTGATAAAAATGTACA